GCTTATGTTGGTTGACTAATCAGCCTCCCGCGGCGTTGCCGGTTCTTTAATAGTAAAAATTGCTGACCTTGAGCTATTTTTAGAATCCTGAAAATATTATTGGACAATGCTTAAATAGTTTCAGATCTTCGGTGTCGTGTTAGTCTAGTTAACGTGCTCAGAGTGTGTGTGTGTGTGTATTGCTTTTGTTTCGGTCTCCAGTTCCACAATACAAAAAATGAATATGTAAGTGATAATGATTTTAGTTTAAGAAATAATATAATAATTCTGCATTTTATTATAGCCCAACATACAGAGCTAGAAAAATTCTAAACACGCTTAGATAATACAAGGAAAAAAGAGGATAAAGGTGATTATTTATTCCATGTCTATTGAATTAGGTGATCAATTGAATACTAACTTAATTTAATTGATTTATGAAAAATTCAAAAAAAATCACCATTTTTAATGTATTATTTAGTTAATTCAAACAATAGTCTGGAGTCGTTTAATGGAAATATATTTGTTAGGTTATGGTTTTGAATAATTTTATTTTCGATTTAATGATTTTCCAGAAGATGAATATGAATATGAAAGTAGTCCCGCTCATCGATTTCTGGTGATATGTCGTTCCTCGATTTCGATTCCGATGACTCGATGAAGGATCCCACATTTAAACCAGAAGTTAAAGATAAGCAAACGACATTTTCGATCTTCAAAAAACTGAGGTTTGACTTTTTCTACTTCATTATAACTCTTGAAGATAATTCAGTTTTTTAACTAGTGTATTCATAAAACATATTCTAGGATGTATTGACAATAGAGAAAAATAATGAAAAAGAGTTAGAAAAAAAGGAAGTTAAAAAGAAAGAAGAACAAAGTAAACCTGCAGTGGAAGAAATTATGAGATCGGATATCGTTTTCCACTGTAAGTAGCAGAAATTTTTATTTCATTTTTCCAATTAAAATACAGATAGAAGTATATTACAGTGCGTTCCATTTAAAAGGAGCCTCCCGATATATCTGCATTAAAAATGAATTTCCGAAAAAAAAATCGGCGGGGAAGTATTGTAAATCGCGAACAAAATCGAAATTGAGATGTTATGTTTTTTGGAGGTCACATGACATGTACATCACGAAAACCATGTCACTCATTTCCGTCAGTCGTCTGTCTGTCGCTCTGTCTGTCTGTCGCTCTGTCTGTCTGTCTGTCTGTCTGTCTGTCTGCTAATCCTATAAGCCCGTATAAGTTGGAAAGTACCAGTCGGATTTGAAGAAATTTTTACACAAGGTTACTATTATGCCAAGGACGTAAAAGCTTTATAATTTTTGAAATCGATCCAGTGGCGGCGGTGCTGGAGGTAAAAAACGAAAAAATAATAAAAAAAGCTCAAATCTCGTTTCTGGACGTTTCAGACGTCCCTGATCATTTTTGAATTTTTTTTGTAGGGGTTGAAAATTGGGGGTTGGGGCAGTAGGGGGGCGGGGGCGGGTATGATTCAATTTTTTTGACGCTTTTATTTTAAAGGTATCCTAACACAGTAATTCACCGCTACAATTAGGATATATTTCGCAATGAGATTCTTCTCCGTACATTTGTTCGAAAAAATGGCGTCAAGTAAATTGATTTTGGCACTTCCCTCGCAACGCCAAGATTAAAGACCTTGGAAATTTAGGAACTGAAATATTGTCTTTCTAACAAATGTACGGAGAAATCTAAGTGTGGAATATATACAAATAGCTGCGTTGAATTACTGCTTTAGGATACGTACTAACGTCAAAAACTGAATAAAACCCTCCCCCCACTTCTACCAACCGCCTTCTACCACCCCCAACCCCCAATTTTAGACCCCTACAAAAAAATATCAAAAATCAGGAGCCTCTGAAACGTCCAAAAACGAAGTTTGAGCGATTTGATTTTTTTACGGTTTTTTGCCTCTAGCACCGCCGCCACTGGATAACTTTTCAAAAACTATAATGTTTTTGTCCTTGACATAATAGTAACCTTGTGTCTTGTAATAATTTCAAAATTTAAACAGAAAATATGGATTTTTTTTTAGAATCTGAAAATATCTGAAATTTTTTGAATAAATGTACGGAGAATCTGATTGCGAAATAAATCCTAATTGTAGCAGTGAATTACTGTGTTAGGATACGTATAAAAATAATAGCGTCCAAAAATTGAATCATATCCGCCCCGCCCCCTGCTGCCCCCAACTCCCAATTTTCAACCCCTACAAAAAAATTCCAAAAATGATCAGGGACGTCTGAAACGTCCAGAAACGAAATTTGAGCTTTTTATTTTTTTTTTTCGTTTTTTACCTCTAGCACCGCCGCCACTGGATCGATTTCAAAAGTATAAAGCTTTTACGTCCTTGGCATAATAGTAACCTTGTGTAAAATTTTCATCAAAATCCGACTGGTACTTTCAACTTATACGGGCTTATAGGATTAGCGGACAGACAGACAGACAGACTGACGGAAACGAGTGACATGGTTTTTCGTGATGTACATGTCATGTGATATCCAAAAAACATAACATCTCAATTTCGATTTTTTTCGCGATTACAATACTTTCCCGCCAGTTGGCGAGGGAAGTAAAACAGAATAATTTCAGATATATTCAGATTCTAAAAAAAAAAATCCAAATTTTCTGTTTAAATTTCAAATTATTACAAGACACAAGGTTACTATTATGTCAAGGACGGAAAACCTTTATAGTTTTTGAATAGTTTATCCAGTGGCGGGCGTGTGCTAGAAGCAAAAAAACAAAAAAAATTAAAATCGCTCAAACTTCGTTTTTGGACGTTTCAGAGGTTCCTGATTTTTAAAATTTTTTGTAGGGTCAAAATTGGGGGTTGGGGGTGGCAGGAAGGCGGTAGAGGGTGGGGGGAGGGTTTTGTTCAGTTTTTTTGACGTTAGTACGTATCCTAAAGCAGTAATTCAATGCTTAGATTTCTCCGTAACATTTTGTTGGAAAGACAATATGTCAGTTCTTAATTTTCCAAAGTCTTTAAACTTGGCGGTGCGAGGGAAGTGCCAAGTCAATTTACTTGACGCCATTTTTTAGACAAGTGAAACGTTTCGTATTTTTTCTTTTGGTAATAAACAGATTCTCTAAAAATGATTTTACCCTTTTATGATGCAAATTTTCAGTTAAATACTGTATATCTGTATTTGATGGAAACTTACTAATATTTTTTTCAGGATGAACAGCTAAATGAAAAGTCCCCTAAAATTGTTATCCTGAGTAACATTGATGTGTCCAATTTCAATCAAATATCGGAGACTCAAACTAAAGTAAGTTCAACCATAAAAACTTCACTTGGAAATAATCATATACAAAATATTACTGCGGATATTTTATTAACTTGATAATCAAATCTTTAATTCTAGAGTAAAATATTTTGCTAGACGTTTTCTTACTTTGTGGGAATATAATATTTATAAGCTTTGAAATTCTAGACTAATATTTTTAACTTTACCTTGAGTCACCTATTATTCCTAAAGGCATGATTAAATTATTTGTCAGTCTCAAATTAGCACCATTGTATCGTTGTTTCTAGTAAATAACTGCTGGTCATCAAAAATCTTTGACAAGATTCTCACTGTCAGAAAATATAAAAATTTATCAGTCATAAAATATTGTAGCTAAAAAAGCCAGGCCAGCTCATTTTTTAAATCAAGATATCACCGAAAATGCCAAGCCTCTCCCTCAAACTGTATTGTTTCATTATCAATTTCTATCAGCATTTTTGCAGAAATTTAAAAAAATCAATTTTTTTTTTACATTTTTCAGACAACAACGAAAAAAAGAGAACAAAGTGTAAGTTTTTGTCAGACAGATGTAACAAATTTTGAGAGGCATCTTGAGCGGAACCACGATGATACTAAAGAGGTACAAGATATGATGTCTTTTCCAAAAAGCCATCCTGAAAGGAAAAAAATTCTAAGTTTGTTGAGAAATGCAGCAAATTTTACAGAGTATCTTAAAGGCAATGTACAGCCTAAGTATCATTAAGACAGAATCTAAAGAATATTACCCATGTTCACGCTGCAAAGCAATGCTGTCTAAATCGTATTTGTCACGTCATAAAAAAAACTGCATACTGAAACACACGAATAATAATGAAATTCGTAAGATGAATTCACTAGCAGCATCACAACATTAATAGCTAGTTCTTTTGATGAAAATAGTAACTTGCACAAACTGAGAGTAAAAGAGGAAGTCTTTGACCGAATGAAACCTGATTATATCTCCTTGGTTGCGAAATCCGACTACCTAATTTATAACTTTGGAGAAAACTATCTCAAAAAACACAGAAGAGAACAACTCGTTACAGTTTGTTCCAATAAAATGAGAGAATTGGCACGGTTTCTGATACAATTCAGAAAAATGACAAATACTCAAAATTCAGGCTACAAGACGTTTTTTAAACCAAAATTGTTTGATATGACAGTCGAATGCGCAAAACATGTAGGGGGATATGAAAATATTCTAAGACATATCGTGCACCTAGCCTACCTGCACATCTGGGAACTTCATTAAAACAAGTTTGTGAACTTTTCACAAGACTGGTCCTGAAAGAGGATGAAGCTTTAAGAATCTCTGATAAAGAAGAGGCATTAAGAGATATAAACAGATTTCGAGAACTCATAAATACACAGTGGACCACGGAAATCAGTAGCTTAGCATTTAAAGACCTTAATGAAAAACAATGGGAGAAACCAGCAATGTTACCTTTAACTCGGGACATAACGAAATTCAAAGACTACGTTACCAATGTGGCAAATAAAGCAATGACCTGTCTAACACTCAATCCAACTGATAGGAAAGAAATGAAAAAGTTGATTCAGGCTTCTCTTATTTTAACGATATTATTTAACAGAAAAAGAATAGGCGACGTTCAATACACAAAATTAAGTACATACATCAACTACTGGAAACCGGTTAACCAAGAGGAGTGTGAAAAAGCATTGTCTCAGTCAGAAAAAATACTAACAAATATTATAAACGCATTGTGACAGGTGGAAAAGGTAGTAGACCCATAGCTATTCTATTCCCTCAAACATTACAAACCTATATAGATTTCTTTGTTAAAATCCGCCAAGAACATCACTTAGTACCCGAAAATAATCCATATTTATTGGGTGTCCTGGAACTTCGAAGTGGACAAGAGGGGATGTTATTATACGGAAATTTGCCCAAGAAGCTGATCTAGAATTTCCCAAACAAATATCTTCTAACAGATTACGGAAGCAAATTGCAACGGTAATGCAAATTCTTAACCTTAGTAAGGAAGAGAGTGAACAATTCGCCCACTTCATGGGACATACTGAAAAAACCCACAATGAATTTTATAAGTAAGTTCTCCCTACAATAAATTACGGCATACATTCATTTGAAATTCAAGTTTTCGTTATTGTAAAAATGCCCTGAAGAAATATTACGCAGTTACTTATTTTAGAGTAAAAGGATGTCAGTAGAAATGTGTTCAAATAGGGACCCTATTTTTGATTAGCATCTGAAATTCTAAGTTACATTCCCGATTTTCAAATGATTTTGAGAAAATGGTGTCGAATTATTCACAATTTTTAACTTTGTGATCTTGTGGCGTTTTAAAAAGATCAAGTCAAAGTACTTCCACTTTTTTCTTAACATCCAACAATAGTATTCTGAATTTCACCTGGTGGTCAGCTTTTTCCTACTATTTATGGACTAATGGTATCGGATAGGTAATGGATCTAACTTGATTAGTCTAAATATATCAATGCGTTAAAGTATCAAATTCAGACGCCCATTTCTCGATAACAATTGAAGATCGGCATAGGATTCACTTGAATTGAAAAAACCGACAATGAAAAAAATTTTATTTGATGTCATGATTTTTATCTCAGATGTAACAAACTTTACTTATGCTTAATAAATTGACGTTTCCTTTTTCCTGGATCAAGACCAATATGAATTTCAAATGAATATATACAGGATGTCGCTAAATTAGTATTTAAAAGTTTACCTACAAATAAATCAGAAAATATGTAGTTGAAAATTTCCTCTGGACCAATTTTAAAAGTAATACATTGAGAATGTTTATAAAATTCAAAAAAATTCGAATTTCAATTTTCAACTTTACCATTCTCTATCTTGGAAACTAAACATTTCCGGGTCCATTGTTCATAGGAGATGTTTTAACTATTTTTGAAGTTCGATTTGTGTTTGAAATTTTGAGTAACAATTTAGTGACACTCTGCATATTTTTCACTCTTTAAGTACTTTGTTTTCTAGGCTGCCACAAGATGTGTACCAAACCGCAAAAATTTCCAAACTCCTAATGTTAATGGAAAAGGGCGTTGACAAGTATAAAGGAAAGTCGCTAAATGAAATTAATATTAATCCAATGAGTGAATTTGCTGAAGAAGAATCAGATAATGAAGATAACGATTTCCTAGATGCAAATGAATCTGACTGTACGGCATTTCAAGGTAATCAGTGAAAAGTCAAAAAGTGATCAGTAAATATGGCTGTTTCTGCAAAGCTTAAATGTAATGCGGCAAAACGTATCAATTGATAAAAATAAAATTGCAGCTATTTTAGTAATTTAATTCTCTTTCCGCGTAGATATAAAAATAAATAAGAAAAAAATAAAAGAAAATAAAAAAAAAAAAAAAAAAAAAAAAAAATAGATCTTATAAAATATTTATTATCGATAGTATGAAATTATTAATAAGTATTTCTATTAATAATAATAATAATAATAATAATAATAATAATAATAAAAAATAATAATAATAATAATAAGAATAATAATAACAGGACTTTATTTGTAATTATATACAAATCGGCGAAGTTTAGCCATATATTGCTATTCTACTTAACCTTAACAAAAATACTATATTCATGCCCCTTTGGCCAAAGCAATTTCTGATCGTTACTGAAGAAAAGCAATGCAAGTTTATATACCCTTGACTCATTTAGTCAGTGTATTTAAACGTCCTTGATGTAAATCGTACGTATAACTTTTAATAGTAATATTGAATATCAATTTATTAAACGCAGAGCCATTCTCAAGCTGTTGAAAACTTTCAGAATAAAAAACATGTTTTTTTAATATCGCATATCAAGTACCAATTAGTACATGGATAGGAAAGAAAAATGTTTCAAGAGTTTAGTACAACGAACATTCACTCTAGAAACGACACTAATTACCTCTTATTAGATTTTTTTGCTTTTAAAATACAATTCGATTCAAAACTAAATGACCATCCCTCCCATCTATTAGAATAACAGAATGTTGATATTTATTAATAACTTACTTTAAGCAATCCCGGAAGAAGAAAGTCGACCAGTATCGAAGAAGAAAATATCAGGGAGGACATTCTGGACTTCTGAACAGGCTCTTCTAGTGAAAAAACATTTCAAGTCCCACATTAGCACAAAAAAGGCCCCCAAAAAGAATGAATGCATGCATTAATAGGAAAGTATCCCGAGATATTCCATGACAAAGACTGGGTTCGCGTGAAAACTTTTGTCTATAATATCTATAGAAATAAGTGAAGCTTTGTTCAGTCAGTAGTATTATTTTTTTGAGCTTTGGTGAAATTTGAAAAATTCACAAATGTGAAATAAATTTGGAATTTGTATTAGACAGTTGAAAATTCGGATGTAAATAAAGAATTGAAAGACACAACTTTTTCCTTTAGCATTTCCCGAAATTTTGAGAGAGAGTTGGGTTTTTGAGATTTGAACAAAGAATCCTCAATTTTGACTAT